CTCAAACCGATCTCGTTAGTCGCCTCTTACGACAAGGTGTATTCCAGAAGACAGATTCAAACCTGGATTTTACGTGGCGGTTGTGCGGATCGTTGCAGACCAAGTTCATTGTAAACTAGGCTAATGTTTTGAAATATATTGGAAGACGAATTTTAGATTCTTCGTCGACTCTAGTAACTTGGTATAAAGGTACGGTGCCACAAATATATTATTGGTTAATTTGATATGAAACCCTTCGTCATCAATGAATCCCTCGACGGATATAATCTACAGCGTTAAATAAATAATATTCGATCCCACAATCGGGCTGTCTGGGAATTCAGACTATTAACGCATTATTTCCGTCGTTATATTCAATAACTGAACTCACCGACAACTGCTTTTGTAATTATCATGTAATAAATAATTTTGGTTCAAGTTATTAACAAGAAGCCGCCATTTTGGCGAGATATGCCTGCTGAAAGGCAACGACTCGTTCAGCGATATTATGCCCTTTGTCAGAGCTTGCATAGATGCGGGGGATTGCGGTGGTTTTCCGCCGAGGTAATGAAATCACAGTATTTGTTGTCGATATGCGAGTCACTTCAGCCGTCTCTTAGTGTTGATAGATTTCAGATTAACTAGATCGATGACCTGTTCTTTGCTGTCAATGAAGCGTCGAGGGAACAAACTGCTGAGTGGAACAATCTTGTGTCAAAATGTCGTCGCTCAGTCAAACGTTAGGTTGTTGCATTTCTCTTGGTTTCCTTACATTCCTTTACAGTTCAAGGAGCACTGGTCATTGTAATGGATTCTATCACTTCAACGTCATCATTCTCATTGACGAGATCTCAGAAGTAATAAGTTGGACAATGTGTTTCAGAAACATTCTTGACTTTTTCCATGAAGTTTCTCGATGTGCATGCTCATATATAACAAAGTCTTACTGAAACGATTGGTGGAAATTATTTAGACCCACTGCTGATACATAGCTGTGAATTCGCTTTACTGCAGAACAGTTCTTATAGAGCCTAGAGCTTATATAATAGGGGCTTTCATTAGGCTGTCTCAGTCACTGAACCACATTATTTCCCCTTGTGCTCAGTCCTTTCTGTATTGCTAAAGCCTAAATGAAGCAAGTCTAGATTTCCTCACTTTCTGAATCTCCCTTCTCGCTGAGGCTCCTTTTCAATTTAAAATAAATTGTTCGTTTTATATCAAAATTAGAAATATTCAGAGACTAAGCATAAGTCTAGGGCATTCATAAGCCAGAATGCAGGTTCAAGAATATTGTGACTATTTCTGTTACCCTTTGTCCAAGCCATTTGCGATGATGGTGATGATGATGATGATGATGATGCCAGTTTCTCATGAGGTTTCATATCCTTGTTATGTGTAATTCTCTTTTATTTTAAGTTTGGAAATAATATCTTCAAGTGAGTAAGGTCGAAGGACACTTTTAGCAATTTTCCAGCAATATCTTTTCAAGGTCACAAGAAATGGGCTTCACATTGTACCAATGGTAGGATTCATTCAAACCCGGTCTTTGATATGACAAGCAAACTCTTTAAGGACTAGTAGGCTAAGTCTAGATTTCCCCAGGTTCTGAATCTCCCATCACACTGGGGCTCCTTTACAATATAAATGGAACTATTTGTTTCTATCAAAATTACATGTTTTCAGAGACTTATCCTATATTGTCTGGTCCAGACTTGATAATTTACAGGTGATGGCCACATACCAAAAACCCTGTGCAGTGCTAAACAACAAACAAACATAAACACAGGTGTTTCAAGCAAGTTATATCAAGTGTAAGTTCTCAAACAAACAGCAATTAACATTACACAATTTAGCACCTTGTTCATTGTCAGTGTCATGAATACAATTAGATAATAAGATAAATATCACATGGTGTATATCATTATCTTCCAAAGTTGTTTCCCAGCATATTGCAGATGTTTTTTGTAATTTATTGTGGTCTAAGAATGTCTTGATTACATGGCTGCTGATCTCGATGGCCCAATGAAATAAATTATTTTTTTGCTGTTTCAGGATTATGAAAACAGTAGACAAGCCATTACTGCTGTTTTAAATGCAGTTGCTTGATTTAGCAAGATGAAAGACATGCTAATACCACTTTGGTCATAAACAGATTTTAATCAGTTTACATGCTTTGGTTTCATTGCTGAGATGATGGATTTTATTACCGTCATAGATTTATATGCCCAGTTCCTGTCTTTTGTTCTCGTATCCAATTCTTATTATTGATATTAATTTTCTGTTGCTTCAGCTGTATTACGTTCACATTCGGATATTTCAGAGGGAGAAAATAAATAATGTTAGCTGAAAAATCATAACTTCTTTACTGCTTTTTTCAAAATATACAATTTAGTACATTTTAAGTTAGAATCTTCCAACGATTGTGCTTTTAGAACAGATTTCTTTGATTATGGAAAGGGTTTTGTTGTTTTTTTTCTACAGATTATGAAATCAGGTTTATCGTACATTTTTTATGTTACAAACACAAGGATAAAATATTTTTTCACAATGCGTTCAGCTTTTCAACTTCCTAACTGCTCCGAAAACAAATGAGATTGAAAGAATTATGTGCCCTTTCTCAGCGTGTTTAGAAATCATCGGGCATGTTTTGATTCTAACAATAGAAATCTTCAACAGACTAAACATTCATCGTACAGTTTATATTCAGTTTTCCCAGTCTCCTAATGACATGTACGTAAAGAACTCTTTTGTGGTTTTTCTTGCATCATCAACCTTCTTTTCGTCCTGGAAACTATGAACTTGACATCAGGGTGTTGTTATCGCGGCTCCATCCCTAAACAGAGTTATTACCCCCCACTCAGCTTCACTTGTGTAAGACAACTTCAAAGCTGGCCAAAAGTTCATCACGACAGACTTAAATGTTCTGTGTAGAAGATGGATGTCCCAAAATATTTATGAAGCTTTGATTCCTGACTGTTACAATAATATACAGAGCTTCACGTGGGTTCCTCAAACATGCCTTCCTCGTATATACCTTGCTTTTACATACGTTACTCGTACATGCGTTCCTTGTACATACGTTCCTTTTACATGAGGCTTGTCTCTGTTAATATATACCATCAGTCCCAGTGAATAATGTCTTGATTAGTGAGTGAAAGAGTTTACTTTTATGCCGCTTTTTGCATCTTACACTCACTAGAATCTGTTTTATCAGATAATTGATCTGGATATTAACTACTGAGTGAGTGAGTTTAGTTTTTACGCCGCTTTTAGCAATATTCCAGCAAAATCACAGCAGGGGACACCAGAATTGGGTTTCACACATTGTACCATGTGGAGAATCAAACCCGGGTCTTCGGCGTGATGAACGAAAGCTTTAACAACTAGGCTACCCTATCGCCCCTCATCATGATCAGGGGCGGTGGGGTAGCCTAGTGGTTAAAGCGTTGTCTCTTCACGCCAAAGACCCGGGTTCGAATCCCCACATGGGTACAATGTGTGCCCATTTCTGGTGTCCCCCGCCGTGATGTTGCTGGAATATTGCTTAAAGCGGTGTAAAACCAAACTCAGTCAGTCAGTCAGTCATCATGATTAACTGACTAAAGTATCCATTGGGCCTAAAAGGCAAAAAGTGATAGCAAATATATGAATGGATACCTGAAAATCAGGTAAAGTAAGCTGACCTGCTCTACAAGTAAAACATCTTTAGCTTCTGCTATATTCATCTACAAGTTTACACTGGGAACAGTGTGCACATAAGTTAGTTATTTCTGCATCAGAATGACCTAAATCTCTATTTCCTTAGAGATATCTAACCAATGGAACAAATATTCAAATTTTGGGGATTGGGTATACATACGAGATGGTATAGTACAGCCTCACCCTGTTTAACCAGACACACTGATCATCCATTAATATCAGTCGTCTGTATTTACGAATCACTGTTAAAGAATAATGTTTGTTACATACCATACTATGCTGGTTGTAGAAGATGAGGATTGGGGTTAGGGGGGGTGTTTAAGAGAGAAATCAGGTGACATGGTTGATTGCATGTCAATGTTCCCCAGTGGCATAGAACATTGCTCACTAGTTCGTCTGGTCCAAACTCAATTGTTAACAGGCTACCGCCATATACAGTCGAACCTCGATAATCCATACACTTGTGTTTTCTCACATTTCGTCCGAATTGCTCGATATTTTAATCTCGTCAGATACTTGGTTGCCCAAATTCTATGGAAGCAAATTACAAGTCCTCTATTATATCACATGTTCGATTATGCAGGTACCTGGAATGTTGGTGAATGCAGTGTTAGACAACATTTGCACACAATTACAATTTATATCAGTTTATGTTCCGAACACATCTTCAAGACACATGGATGTCCAGGGATGTTGTTGTCAAGCAGGATACTTGACAACGGCACAAGAATCTGTATGAAACCTGTGGCTCTCTAGAAATAAAAGAAATTGTTATCCATAAAGGTTGTCTATATCGTACTTCCCAACTTTTAAAATGCCACTTAAAGAAGAATCTCCAAGGGGACTATGCAGGGTTTTCAGGGCACGGGTTCGATCCCCGATCACGTCATACCAAAAGACATTAAAATATGGTACTTGTTGGTCCCTGCCTGGCGCTCGGCATTAATGGGTACAACAAGGACTGAGTCAGTATAATGTGTCTGAGTGGGGTATTCATGCTTCACTGCAGCATGGTATCTCAGTGGGCTGGCACTATAAAACCAGCTTCAGTCTGGGCTAGTACACGCAGCCGGCACATACACATATATTTTCAAGCGAAATATTCTCCAGCGCTGACGTTAAACCCAATTTCACCTCACCTCACCGAACAGAATCTTCCAGACTTACAGATCTCCAGGGAGACTGTGCAGGTTTTCAGAAAGGACTGTGTCATATTATTGTTAATGCTTTGACTGAGCTTGAAAGTATTGCTATTGTCACTGCAATATTTGACAATTATTTGTGGTGTATGTGTATCATTTTTGTGTGGTTCTGTGTTTCAGGCGCCTCGACCGGAACCTGCTTGTGTCTACCCCGGATAACCTGTTTGCAAACATGCCCAACCTGCTCAGACTGTGAGTACACGCACTTCTACCATAGAGCTCAACATTGTGTGTGTATTCAATACATCAAATCTTAAGGGGAGAAAAATTACAAATACAAAATTGAAAATTTCAGAGTATATAGGCATTGTTTGCTTATGATGGAAGGAAATATAACAGCGATTGATACATATTGTGTGCATGGATCTCACAATAATTAAACCGAAATCACATAACTATCATACATGCATTTGTCAAGAAATAATAGACCCAGTTTTGCATCATGATTGCTATATATTTGATGTTTGTTTCATTGTCCAAACTGTGAAGTAATAAAGCTTTAAAACACTAGGTTATAAACACTGAAATCTATTACTCAGGAATCTGAGGATGAAAACAATGAAATTACATAATGTTCTCAACTGAAAGTTTTGTTGTTTTATTCATAATTTTGATGGAAATATTTTTTTAAGGCATTCTGTAAAATGGTTGGCAAATATTGAATTCATACCACAATGTTGAGCTTTATATCACATCATTAATATTAAATATACCTTTTTCCAGAATAATGCATTATGGGAATATAAAGGCACACATGACAAATATAGCCTTGTTTCACTCGTACAGAAACGTCTTGTGAACAAAGCAAGGCATTATTTTGATATGTCTCTCACGCAACTAGACCAGATTGAAAAATGCTTCACAAATATGTTCTACTCAAACACAATATGTTTATGAACAAACCAAGTGTTGTAAGAAATCCTCCCACCCAATGACAAGCATTCATGAAATGTTTAGCACACACTCATATTCTTATGTATATATGTATATCTACCACAAATATACATCGTAAGTGGATTCTGTTTGTTTTCGTACCCTATTTGAGTGAATGACAATATTTTTATCACATTTTGCAAACATGTGAAAAGTCTTGAAAATTTCCATGAATCAGCTCAATAGTTATTCCCATATGTTTACAGTAGTACGCTGTGTTCAGTAAGAGTGAATTTTGGACTCATACCGAACAAGGTCGTTTTCCCATCTTTAATTACCTCCTTTATTACGTAACCACTTGATACGTCAGCCAAGTGGAGCTTAGTATCAACTCAGAGCACTAAGAGGAACAGTTCTGTCTTACAGTTTGAATATTGACCACTTGTTAGCCTTCCAAGCTTTCCACAGTCTTTCAAATCCTTTCAACACGACCAACGTTTCTCACACCTTCGTTGGTCCTTTACCTTCACCAGGTGGTGCTGGTTTAGTATTCAGCTGGCGTACCCTCTTCCAAGTGTCAAACTCAAAGCCTCCTCACAAAGCAATGTCTTACTGTAGAGGCCGATTAGTTTTTGTGGTGGAGAGGTTGTGAGAATTGTAAAGCTTGATACTGTTAACCGACAGGGTCAATAGAATGGACAATGGGCAGTGAGAGCAAACCGTGTCCGTTGCCTAAAGAGATTACTTTCCTGAAACCAACCTATTTCTACTTTTGGATTTTTCAATATTTACAAGCACGGATGTGAATTATCGCTGATTGTTGAAAGTATTATATATGTCTAACTTATGTGAGAATTTGTGTCACAGTTGACTCCATACAAACCCTTAGGCTTCGTGTAATCGGCAAAACATTTGGCTGACAGGCTTCAATTAGCCAATTAGACTTTTCTGGTGTTTAGAGTCCCCTCAGGCATTCATACAAAGTAGCAACTTTAATAATGTGATTATATCAGTTAGTCGATAACAAAAAGGTAAATATTTTCCAGATAGGGTGGCTTTTAGCTGAATGAGGCGGTTTAAACCTGTATTAAATGAATGAGGTGTTACAAGCAACTTCAACTGAGGCGTTAATTGTATGAAATACCGTCAGTGGAGCAGGTGTACACGCCAAAATTTACTCACGCATTTGCGATATGTTTAGCTGAATGAATTCATTGAGTCAATATGTGATGGTTATCACAATCCCATTCATGTCTAGAAGGAGCTGGATATGAATAAACCCAAATTTGAGGTGTTAGAGATACGATTTACACACAAAAACTTGAGAATTCTCAATGGACTTGTAACAGGAACCTTGTAACCTTGTAACCTTATGACCAATCCTCTCCAGTTCTTGTTACATCATGGCTTCAATCCTATCTACATGATGGAAAATTCTGATATCTTAATCATTTACAAATCTTTAAACGCATGAGTTCTCAATTTCAGACGAGTTTCAAACGTTGAAATGATCCGTATCCGATGGTCATTGATTTAAAGATATTCACAACATCAGGGACATAAATTCCACCTGGTAATAGTATTCTGTTACAACAAAACATTTACCAACACCTCTCCGTTGTAATAAACAATACCTTAGAGGTAAAGAATATTTTCTTGTGTGGTAGAAGGGACAATTTGAGCAGTATCACGCTCAAATGAGACTGTATAAAACGCTTGCAATCGTATAGTCGTATCTGGTAGAGTGACATAGGACCAGGATCAGTTAGATATTTTGTATTCAGGTCAACCTTCAGGTCACTGCTATCTTGTCTCCTCTATCCAACTGTGTTTGTCTGCTAGCAAGGTTTACTCCACGTTCTGTCAGTGACGTCTCGGTGTAATGGCGAGCAAAGGTGTTCGTGTTTAGAAGTTGGATCTCATGTGCTGTATTTTTAAAAGATGTTTTACGTTTTCTTGCCTCGGGCCTTGTCTACCTTATAGAATGAATATACAAAGACTTAACGTTTAAGATCTGTATAACTCCCTTATATATATGTACATTGTCTTTATGAGCTGCCTCCACAAAATCAGAGTGAAGGAGAAAACATTATCCAGGTAATACTAGTATGTCAGTAATTACGAAGTTTAATAAATTAATGTGAGTATATACAAGGCCATAAATTTTTACTACTTGGTTTATGAGACTGACCATGTTAAAAAACCTTTAATTAGAATATATAAGAATTACTTTGATGGAGAAAATATTGGGCACATCTTTTTGTCTTGATAAAACACAACATTTGATCATGGATGTTCTACCCAAAACAGATATTGGTTATCTTTTAGGTTCTTTTCATGTTAAAACATGTCACCAAACTTGTCCAAATTGTCAACAAAAAACTTATACAGATTTGAAGTCAAACATGAGCAATTTCTTAATTTTGTTTTGACAGCCATACAGATGTATGAAATTGTATCCTTCAATACAAAAACTACACATGGTTGCTTTGACCTGAGACTCTTCCAAGTAGCTCTAACAACAACTTTGTAACTGGATACAGATTCTAAGCAGGATTTCATCAATTTTAAGTCCCTTTGTCAGAGGGCTGACAGTGAAGGTGTCAAGCCTATGGTTGCCATCAGCACGCCCTGGACAGGTAACTGATAGACTCTCAGTAGTACAAACTCCAGGTATTTGCAAACACAATGCATAATGTGTTTTAAAGCCCCTGGTTGCTTCAAGGGAAGGGGGATCTCCGAGCAACACCTGAGGTTTCGACAGGATTACACCTGAGCTACTTGCTGCAACTGTATAAAATGTAATTATTTAGCTGTTAAAGCTAACAGGGGAGTAGGAGCATGGGTGTGGGGAAGTTGGCGGTTGGGTTTGCTGTTGTACGCTGTTATGAGGTCAAGAATGTTAAAACACTTTAACCCCTTTAATGTGGACCATGGAGAGAAGGACCATGCAGACTATGTAACCTGATATGCTGTAACTAGTGGTGGTCCGATTAATTGAAATAATCGATGATTGGTCGCAATGACTAAACGACCACGCAATCAGTCATGTTTTCTCATAATCGAACACAAACAATTTTTGGAAGTTGTGGAATACTTGTTTGCGTTAACAATATTTTTCACCAAGTTGGTTTTGTCTGTAACATTTCATAAGCACTACAAGCTCATACCAAGTCATGATTGAAATTATCTTATAGACTCCAGGAAATGTATGTTCCTAACATACCAGTCATCATTTGAGGTTCTAAAAATTGCAAATGCTATTTTGTGCAATTTGAAAAAAATAAACCCGAAAGAACTACCTGTTTTTTCTTTATTTTTGGTGCATTAACATAATAACCAGGAAAATTTTATAAATGAAGCTAACCAATTATCTTCGATGATTGATCGGTTGTATTGAACCAATCATCAATTATGAGATTTTAACCAATTCCCAACACTATCTGTAACCCTCTAAATGTGGACCCGCAGTGGTTGCTCATCATATCAATTACAGGTTTGTGGTTGCTCATCATATCAATCACAGGTTTGTCTGGTCCAGACTGTTTAAATACAGACTTGATATGTCTAGAATATTGCTGAATACAGCTATCGGTAAGAAACGCATTCAAGACCAGTGCAGATAATTTTGCATTTTTGCTGGTGATAGAAGTTGACAAACTTGTATTCTGTCTCTCAATCCCTGAACCACATTATTTTCATTTCTGTCTAGCCCTTTCTGCAATGCTAAGCCCTAAATGAAGCAAGTCTAGATTTCTCCCATCTCACTGGGGCTCCTTTTTGATTTAATAGGAATTATTTGTTTCTGTCGAAATTATATATATTCAGAGACTAAGTGCTAGTCTACCAATCAAAGATAAAAGTTATCAGTCTGAGAGTTTTCAGACTGTATTCCTAACAAAAAATTTCCTCAGAAACTAAATTTGAAACCTGTAAACTGCCACAGTGATACAAACACTGAAATTTTACTGAGCATTCTTTACTGCTGAGAAATTCAACACCTTAAATCCAATAATTGACATGAAAATTTACCAACAAAACCTCTGTGCTGTACTAGGGACTGGTCGTAATGGGAAAATAAGTTAAAACATACGGAAAGTAATGCAATTCTGTTGTGAAAGTAAATGTTATCTTAGATATGCCCTACCTGACCAAACAAGCCACGATGACCCGCTGTTGTTGAAAAGAAAGAAAAACAATATTTTTGTTGAAACCGAGCAAGTATCATACCCTGCTTAAATCCAGAATTATTTGCATAGAATTCATCTCTGACATGGCTTGGAATCTCCCAGGTGTCCAATTACCTAAGATTGATTTTT